CCCGGGGGCTATCGACGCGGGGGTGGTCTCATTCGAAAGCGGGCCTCTAGACGTACACTCGATTCGCGTTCGAGAGGGTTCCTTGAGCTGAAGGGATCCCCCGAATTTGGTGCGGATTCGCCGCGCCGTTACGGAGATATGGCCGTTCAAAGTTTCAGTGGTTTTCCATAGACTTAAGCACAAAAGAAGCAATATGTGAACGGCCCCTAAGGCTTGTTTGAGATGCGCCTGGCCTGAAATGTAGGCGAGAGTAGGCGGCTGCAGTGAGGGGAGGTGATCACCGGTGATCGGCTAGCTTTTGCGTTGACTGAGAGGAAAGCGTATAGATGAGATTGATCTGAACATCCCATCTGCTTCTGCTTCATTCCATCCAACTTTGTTTGACTTCGTTGCTCTATAGCAGTAGTTCTCATGTGGTTTTGCTTCAGAAAACTTTCTGCAAGTAAATGACCAAAAGTCCATTACTAGCTTGTGCATGGAAGGATACAAACTCATCAGGAGTGAAAAGGTGACAAAGGTTTGAACCCCCTTCCCCCTTTTTTAATACCATAGGGAAAAAAGTGAATAGTAAAAACAAGATAAAAACAGAAAAGCGTCACATAACATCCCCTTTATCTCCTGATGGCAGACCCTAGACAGTAGAACACATTTTTTTATTCATTTTTATTTTCAAACACATGTACTATTGCACACGTTTTAGTTAGGTAATTTGAATATATATTGTGACGAGCATCCCGAAGCTTCATCAGCGTCGCCCTGGAAACAAGCGAGGAGCACCTGGCCATCATCACCTTGGAGACACTTCTCCATGAGACTGAGCATTAACGCGCTCTCTCATTTCTCCCACAGACAGCAGCGTGTGACCGACCAGGAGCACAGCACGGACCCACTGCACTGGGAAGAAGGAAGAGAGCCACTATTAAAAAAAGGTTCAAACATTCACTGATGCTCCAGGAGGAAACATGATGCATTAAGACTTTTGAACAGGATGAAGATGTCCCAATTGTTCTTATTTTGCTGAAATATAATAATTTTTAATAAATACTTTTTTCCCATTTAATACTGCCTTTCGGAAGCAACAGAAGATACTTGCAAGTTTCCCGGAAGACAAATTAAGTACAATTTACCTTGATCTTCACATTCAAAAAGTTTTCACCCCCCGGCTCTTATATTTATATATATCTGCCTCAATTATTAATATTTTTGCACCTTTTTATGTAGTAAAATTTATTTCAAAAGAACACCTGCATTTTTTTTCCCCGTTTTTACTTAAAGAGATAAATCATGGAAAATTTGCCATGCTAAGCGGAAGATTTATGCCAAGATTTCACCTGGTAGAAAAACAAATACTATTAAAATGAATGTCATGATTCCCACTATGACCACAGCAGCAGAGGATCATTTATTGTCTCTTTTACCATTTCCACTCTGTAATAAATTTCTTTTCACATGTTTTGCTAATGGATTTATATTTATACATTATAAAATCACTATTATAACAATTAAAAATCTATTTTTTTTGTCAAAGTTCAGCATTGTTTTGAATTGAAGTATGAAGTAGCAAGAGTTTTCGACTCATTGAATCTACTTGAATTACACAGATGGCCTGTTTTGAATTTACAAAGGCAATTTTCAGTGAAAAGTGGCTAGTTCGTATCCTTGTTTACAATCTTAGTTTCTCTCAAATGTAAATCAAATGCCCATTCACAAACATGTGTTTCCATCATTGCACCATTGCTTGCTCGCCATCATTGCATAGGCCCACTCATGGATGAGACATGCAGAAAACTATAGTCAACCTTCACTGAATTTTATAAAACCATTGAACTCTGAAAAAGTTATCAGTCAGTGTATAACATTCTATTAGTTGTCAAATTAATTTATTGCAGCACTTTTGTCATACCTAATTCGAGCTCTGTACAAAGGAAAATAATGTAAGAATGTAAAATAAGTTTTTTTTTTCATGCATTTAAATATGGTTTGATTTTCTTTTCATTTTCGTACTTTACAAATTAACGAAAAATTAGCGCATATTTTCTAGTACATTTATCTGCACTGTGCTCACATTAGGCCTACCTGTGCATTAAATTATATATATAAAAAAAATACATAGCCTATCATCTTGCGCCCTATTGTGATCTCGAATTGCAGAATATTTCAGTAGG